GCATCATGACTAAGGCCCAACGTGCAGGCGAATGGTGGAAACGGTGTTCCCCGGGCACCTCAAGGCCCACGCTGCCTCTCCTGCCCCTCTCTGCCAGGGATAGGAAAGGCCCTGGGGCTGCAGCGGTGTGTGCCTTCCCCATCTCCGACGTGAAGGAAGCCTTTGATGGGCTCTACAAAGAGGTCAACCGGGAGACACAGCAGTGGTACACAGACGTCCATCCTGTGCCAGAACCCCGCCCCGGAGCAGTAAGTGGCGAATGCTAGTCTTCGCCTGCATGTATTGGCAGAATAATTCTCTGAGCATCTACACATCTTAACAGCATGTTTTAAAAACAAGAGTTGAAGTGCAAATTTTGTAAATTCCTGTGCTGCTCCTACCTTTTGTTTTGGGTTAAACCTCCAAACTTAACAGTGCCCAAATTCTAGCCTTTTTTTTTTTTTTTTGAGAAAAAGCAAGCAAGCTTCCATTCCAAAAAAGTCCCTGTTGGGACACTTGGTTAAAACAGTTGAATGGTAGGAGCCTCGCAGAGGCTCGAGCCAAAGAAGAACTCCGAAGCCTCTTGGTTTTCTTCCCAGAGCAATCCAGAGGGGGGAGGGGGCCCCGGGGTGGGCGAGGGCTCTGCCCAAGACCCCCCAGGCCTCCGCCAGGGCTCACTGGTAAACCCCTGCTCTTCCCAGTGCATCAACCAGAAGACCCGGCAGATGAAAATCACCTCTTCGCTCCAGATGCCGGACCGGGTCCTGAACTACCTGAAGGACCACTTCCTAATGAACAGGGCGGTGCGGAGCCAGGCGCTCCTTGTGCAGTCCCGGTCCCGCTACCAGCAGCTCAGTGTGCAGCGTGTGCAGAGTCTGCGGCAAACCTACGATGTCTTGTTTCTGGGCACAGGTGAGCAGGACTGGCAGATTCACTTATTCCGTTGCTGCGGCTGCCTTGGTGGTATTGCCACGGCTTCAGACTGATCCACGTCAGCGTATAAATGGCTTTGTGTGGAGAACATGTGAGTTGGCGGTTACGGAACTTGAAGAAACGGGGGGTGGGTCAATGCCAAGCCAAGGAAAGATGGCAGAGGAGTTGACGCTAGACCCAAACCTGAACCTGGGTCGTTCCCATCTTCTTGGAGCTCAGATGGTGGACCGGGCCTGCCAGAAGTGAAAAAGACCTCCTCGCAGGGAGGGAGGGAGGGAGGAAAGGGGGGCAGGGGACGCCCCAGGGGCCGGCACTGGGCACCTCTTGTGTCTCGTAGATGATGGCCGCCTGCATAAGGCAGTGATCACGGGACGAGGAGTGAGGATCATTGAGGAAATCCAGCTCTTCTCTGCGGACCAACCTGTCCTGGAGCTGCTGCTGGACTCTACCCAGGCAAGAGCAGGAGACCAGGGGGGACCCCCGGCCCCAGTTCTTTGCATGAGAGAAGCAGCTGGCTGGCCCGGCATCCGGGCGAGGCGTTTGGTGGGCTTCTGAATCAGCGCCACCCAGGCAGCTGCTGCCGCCGCCTCCTTGTTCTCTTCTGCTTGGGGAGGATGCGTTTCTGGGTCCCTGCTTAGTTGGCAAGAGGCGGATGCCGCTGGGTACAGGACAGAAGGGGGAGGCTCTTCTAACCACAGTAGAGGTGCGTTTCCTGATGCCAAGGCAATGCCCCTGCCCTTGGGAGGTGGCAGAGGAACTGTGGCACAGCCTCTTCCAACGTTCTTGGTTAAAAATGCCCCCTGGTGCTCCTGCTGGAGCGTCTCCTGTTCTTCCCACAGGGCCTGGTTTATGCTGCCTCGTATGAAGCTCTGGCACAGGTGCCCGTTGCCAACTGCAGCCTGTACCGGAGCTGTGGAGAGTGTGTCCTGGCCGGAGACCCTTACTGTGCCTGGAGTGGAGGGGCCTGTCAGCTGCTCATCCCAGGCCCTCAGCCGCTCCAGCCAGTGTGAGTGCTTCCCAGATGTGGCCACAGGGGGCTTCCAACCCCCAGCCCCCCAGGCCCTGCCTCCGGACCATTTGGTGTAACAGAACCACCCCCTCCTTCCTCCCAGTCCCCTGCTGCTCCTCTTCTCCACGGCAGTCCAGGCACACGTAGTGTACTTAGAGGGGCACGTGGTCCTCAGGGTATCAGAAGAGTCCTCGGGGGTGCCCCTTCTGCTGCTCCTTTTCCCCAGGTCTCACCTATTTCTCCCTCCAGGACCTGGGTCCAGGACGTCGAAGGGGCTGAGACAAGCCAGCTTTGCCAGAGCAGCGGCATGGAACTCAGCCGTTCGGCAGGTAACGGGTCAGGCCTGCCGGGGTTGGGCTTTGAAAGCTGGGGGAAGGAGGGGAGCGGAACGGGGCCTCCCCTCCTGGCTCCAAAGCCAAGGAGCATCTTGCAGGGATTGTGCTGGAGCCAGGTTAGCTGTTGAGAAGGCTGGATCTGATGGGCGCTCTCTCTCCCCCAGGAGAGCAACCCCAATGTCAGCAGGTGGTGCTCCAGCCCAACGCTGTGACGACGTTGCCCTGCCCACTGCTGTCCAACCTGGCTTCCCGGCGCTGGGTGCACAACGGGGCTGCCCTCGGCTCCTCCTTCCTGGTGCTGCCCAAGGGAGAGCTGCTGCTGGTGGGGAGCCCAGCCGAGGGGGGGCGCTACGAATGCTGGTCTCGGGAGGGCAGCTTCCAGCAGTTGATGGCCAGCTACTGTGTGAATGTGGAGCCAGGACTCTGGGCCAAGCTGGTGCCTCCCCAAGACCCCCTGAAGACCCTCAGCACCTCCAGGAGCATCTCAGGAGAGAACATCTCACTGCTGTTGGAGAGCAGGACCTACAGGACCGAGTTCCTTGTGATGTGTGTGCTCTTCAGCATTGTCGTGATGCTGCTGGTCCTTTTCACGCTGCACAAGCACCAGGTCAGCCTGAAGGCCTGCCTCAAGCAGGGCCGATGCAGATGGTCCCATCCCAGGACCTCGCCGGACAGAGAGGCCCCGCCCACCGAGAATATGCCTCCACTCAGTGGCCTGAACATGTCTGGTGCTCTGGCAGACCACAAGGGCTACCAGGCTCTGTGCGAGAGTCTCGTGGTGAGCACACCTGGGCACGAGTCCTTAGCCTGCCCTCGTGTGGCTTTTCTGGAGTCCGATCGGCGACCACTTAATATATCCAAGACTTTCGTGGAGGTGTTGGGTCCTGTCCAGCGTCCTCGGGTTCGCCTTGGCTCTGAGATCCAGGACTCAGTTGTATGACCTTCCCCAAGAGGCGCCGTTCTGTGGGCTTGAAAGGAGCAGGGCGCAGTCTTCCGGTGTGACCATACTCTGGCAGAGGAACAGGCAGAAGGGCAGCCCCACTCGGTTGGGGACTAGGGCCAGGCCCTCGGGGTTCCTGCATGGCAGTTGGCAGTAATGTCACATAGCCTTGAGGGCCAACCTCACATTCTAGGCTGCGCTTCAGCTCAAGCGGCCCAGTCGTTACAAGCACTGCCAGGATGGGACGGAATGGGACAACTCGCCCATGGGCTTCTTCAGTGTCTGCGAGCACCTGGCTCCCATTTCTTTGGCCTGTGTGGGAGGGACCATTGCTGGGAAGGTAACCTATGTACCAAAGACCCTCCTGGAAGTCACCTGTGAAAGGAGATGCTCTGGTTGAGCATCCTGCCTTCCTGAAGGAAGATACGTTGATCTGACTTCTAATGAACTGTGCATTAGGGAGAAAAATGGTGGACCATTTAATGTCAGAAAAACTCCTGTGTGATTTGTGTGTAAAACCAGAGACCTGGTCCAGAGGGAGGGAGTGGTTAATAGGCGATATCCACTGATGAACAGAAAGCATCGGGGAGCATCCTTCAGGACTGTCCTCCAAGAGGGCTGGCTGAAGGTCTCAGCTCAGGGCCTGCTACCTGACCATACATACAACAGAATCATTGCCCCATTGCTAAATGTCTGGGCTGGCCTAAAGAGGGGGGAAACCATTTTCTTCCAGCAGATCTCTTCACTGGTAACAATCCCCTTTGGCCTGTACCAACTGGTGCAGCTGCTTTGGGAAGAGGCCAAGTCCCCACCCACCCGAGGTGTTAAACCCTGGAAGGCCTGCCCAACAGGACCCGCCGAGATTCCTGCAGGGAAAGTTCCTTGCACCGTCCAGTTGCTTTGGGCTCCCAAAGGAAAGTGGGCTTGGCAGCTGCTACAGCTGTTTAACAATGACTGGGTGGGGCTCCCACAGTCCTACTCCTTCCCACCTACGTGAGAGGGTTGGTTGGAGTGAAGTGTGTCAAAGACTGGGAAGACGGCAAAATTGTTTTTCTGTTCTTCACTCCTTCAGAGGCTTAATTGAGCACCCTCTGCTGTGCTGGGAGCAATACAGATGAACTTGTTCTTTGGAGGGTGAAATAAAGATGGAGGAACATGAGTGGGTTCCATTTGTTGAGTTTTATTTAGCAAAAGTGTAGAAATCAGACAAAATCATGGAAAGAAAAAACTCAAAAGAGGCTGGCTTATGGGTGGTGCTCTTCCCCACCATTCAGAAAGCAAGAAAACTGGTCCGGTGATTCAGACCTTCCACTATGCCCAGCAGGGTTTAATTGGGAAAGTCTCCGTTGTTCTATGACAAAGCAGAAAGCAACAGGAGTGACTTTAAAGCCCTGCCACAGTTCGCTCTTTTTTTGATCTGCCACAGCAGCAACCCCAAGCCATCGCCCAGAACCACCCGGTGAGGCGGGAGCAAAGAATACCAGCCACAGCTGCCAATGTCCTTGCCCCGCCCCTCCCTACAGAAACACCAGCCAATGGATATGATTGCAAGGCCATGATTTAAGTGGCTCTAAGAATTAGACGGCGTCAAGGTTTGGGTTCATGTGTCCTGTGAGAAAAATGAGCCATTTTCCGAGATGTGGAATCTTCGGGAAGAATCAGAGGACAATCTTGAAGGAGCTGGAAGAAAAAGATAGGACTTCGTTATCAAAGGCTAACCAGGTTCCTTCTAAAGCACGGCCCTCCCCAAACACCAATGATTTGGCCAGAGCTCAACCCAAGAAAAGCAGACAGTTACCTGGTGAAGTCTGGAGAGCGGGAAATTATATGCTGGAACTCGGAGAGGTTGATGGTCCCATCTTTGTCAATATCAGATTCCTCCAAGATCTGCCCAAATGGAGGGAGCATTGTGGGTCAGAGTTGGCTGTGCCCCTTCTGGCCGGCCCTCCTTAGGTGTCCCCCCAGCACTCACATTCTGAATGAGCTGCTCCATCTCTGATGAGCTCAGCCTGCTGTCTTCTCCTTCTCCTGTCAGGGAGTTCACCAGATTCTCCAAATCCTTCTTGTCTAGAGTGCCATCATCATCGGAATCTAGGGAGAAGATGGGTTTAGCGTCCGCAAAGCTAGAAGCTTTCTCAGCTCCGGCAGGGGGTTTAGGAGGAAAGTCTGAGCTCCAAGTACATTCAGGCGTGAGAGAACAGCCCTCCCCCTTGGCAGGTGAAAGTGGTTCTCCTCTAGTAACAGGTGTGTATTCAAGGATCCAGAGAGAAACAGCTACTCCTCCCATGTAATCCAGCAAGTGAGGAGAGGATGATGTTGTTAAACCAGATTAACTCTGGGCAGTTTTAAGATTCCTCGCCTCGCTTGTTAGAACAGGCTCCAGGGCAAGGCAAATGGGGAGAGGAGTATCTCACCTGGTTCAAAGCAAGAGGCCCAGGAGAGACCAGATCCCACAACACCGGCTGGAGAACTCTTCCCTCTCTACTACCACCAGACCCAAACCCCAAGTCAGCGTTCCCAGGTGGGCAGTGCCATTCCTGTCTGACCACAACAGGCGATCGAACGCATCTAAGCGCCCCAACCTGAAACCCTCCAGCGGGCCCTGCTTGGGCGGAGCGGTTGTTCCTCCGCCCGCCCGCGAGCACCGAGCCCTACCGAAAAGGCGGAAGGCGTAATGCGACTTGATTTCGGGGGTGGCCGAGTCGCTGAAGACGCTCAGCAGGTCCAGGAAGTCCTCAAAGGTCAGGCCGTCCTCGCCGTTCTCCGCCGTGGAGAAGACGCGGCAGATCCTGTTCCGGAAGGGGTTCGCCTGCAAGAAGAGCCGGCGGGGGCTTCAGTGCCAGCCGAGGGCCCGACCCCGCCGCCCAGCCTGGGGGAGGCCAGGCGCCCGCGCCCGCCCGAGGGAGGCTCCGGGGCGGCTCACCCGCAGCTCGGGCAGCGTCAGGAGGCGGCTCTTGGGCACGCGCGTCTGCAGGGCCTGGCCGCGCGTCTCCCGGGGCAGCAGCTGGCAGAAGCGCTTGTGGGCGCTGCAAGGCAAGGCAAGGCAAGGCAAGGCGGCGGTCAGGGCGCGCTCCCGGGCCCGACGCGGAAATGGCGCCGGCGGCTGGCCCGGCTCCTGCGGCGCCCTTCCGGGAGCAACCCCGACCCGACCCGACCCGACCCTGGCCCGTCCCCGCGCGCGGCGCGTACTCACAGCAGGATCTCCTGCTTGCTCAGGAAGGTCAGCTCCTGCGGGAGAGAGCCGGTCAGGGGCCGCGCAGGTAGGCAGGTAGGCAGGCAGGGAGGGGCCCCCGACCCCCAGCGCGGCTCCCTCCCTCCCTCCCTCCCTCCCGGGACGCACCTGGTACTCGCCCAGCAGGTCGCGGGGCAGGCGGCTGCCCGAACCCCCCATCCGAGCCTCTGGCAAGCGCGGCCCCGGCTCTCCCTGCTCTCCTCCTCGGCCCGCCCCTGGGCGGAGCGGCTGCCAGACCGCCCCGCGGCGCCGGGAGGGAGAGCGCGCCAGCCAGCCGGCCGGCTCGGGGAGGCGGAGCGCCTGCGTGGTGGGAGGGCGCCCGGGAGCCGGTTCCGCCGCCACGCCAGTTTCGACCCGGCGCCGCCAAGGCGGGCACCGGAGGCTTCTCCTGCGGAAGTCTCGCCACGGGATCCGCCGCTCGCTTTCAGCATGGCCGCGGAGGGGCTCGGGGCGGCCGGCCGGGGCGGCGGGAGCCCCGCGGAGCTCTTTTGCTACGACCCGGAGGAGCTGGTGCTGCGCGGGGTGGAGTGGCCGAGAAGCGGCGCGGGGGCGCCCAGGAGCCCCGCCTGGTCGCGCTTCGACAGGGCGCTGCGGGAAGGCTGGGACGACCGGCTGCGGCGGGGGCTGTTCCGGTACCGTCTGGGCGAGCTGCAGACGCGGGTCCTTCCGGGCAGGCTGGGCCTCGTGGCCCAGCTCAACGTCCAGCGGGCGACCGAGAGACGGCGGCCCCAGGAGGCCCGCAGCGTCCGGCAGAGATTCGATCCCCGGCAGTTCAACTTCGGCCAGATCCGCCGGGAGGAGGTCCTCTTCTGCCTCTGCCGGGGCTGCCCCGCCCTGACCGGCTCGCCCCGGATCCTGGTGGCGATCAACGTCAGCCCGCTGGAGCAGGGACACGTGCTTCTCATCCCGGACCCTGCGCTCGCCCTGCCGCAGATCCTCACCCCGGAGGCCCTGCTGGTAGGGCTGGACGCTGTGCTGCTCAGCACCCACCCCGGCTTCCGCCTGGGCTTCAACAGCCTGGGGGCTTTCGCCTCCGTCAACCACCTGCACCTGCACTGCTTTTACCTGGACTGGGAGCTCTCGGTGGAATCCGCCCCCTGCGAGCCCCTCCTGCCCGAAGCGGGCCTCTACCTGCTGCGGGAGGCCCCGGCGCCGGCCTTCCTCTTCTACTGCGACGACGGGCAGCAGCTGGAGCCACTGGCTCATCGGATCAGCCGGGTCACCTGCCATCTGTCCCAGCGGGAGGTTGCCCACAACTTGTTTGCCACGCGGGGGGCTGCCCCCGAGGGCCCCCTGGGCTCCAGAGCAAGACCTGGGGTCCGGGTCATTCTTTGGGTGCGGAAAGCCTGCTTCGGTACCAAAGAAGAATTCGCCTTCAATGTGGCAGTTTGTGAATTGGCAGGACATCTGCCCACTAAAACTGTCCAGGAATACGAAGGCCTCACTGAGGCCTCGGTGCTTCACAGAATTCAGCAGTATCTCCTCCCAGACAGCCAGTTAGCCCAGCTTCAGGATGAGCTTGTGGAACTCCTCAGAGAGTAGCCTCCATGGCCTCCCTGACATGAGGGCTGGGAGAAGCCCCCCTTCCAGCCATTTATGAGCCATGGACTCTTCTTTACAGATTAACAAGATGTACAAACTACAGAGTAAGAATGAGGAGACAGAATTGCTGGACAATAAAGCACAAGGCTTAATAACTTGTAAGGAAAATAAAATACCTCTGAGAAAGAAACTCGTTTGTTTGTGAGGGGTGTTTAAAGGGGCCTGCAGGCGTTTGTGAAGATCTTCACTGCTGCTAGGAAGGAAATCACAGTCTGAGTTTTTGATTACGGTTAGCTCAGTTAAACAATCCTGTGGTGTCTTAAAAGATCCCTACCGGTGACAGGCATCGCCACCATCTTCAAGGGATTCTATCTTATTTCCTATTTGAACCCTAAATCACACCAGTCACATGCACATTTAGTTTACTGCCACCTGTAAGGATCAGTCAGCTGAACAGAGGGGCTCCCCTTTTCTAAAGCTCACCCCACCTTCTGCCTTCACCATATCCTGGTAGCTCCAAGAGATGCTATATTGCTGAGAGTTGTCCAACACGTGGGCCTGGGTCCCTGGGTTCATTCCACTGTGTGTGTGTGGGGGGGCAGCCTTTGCTTTCAATGTACCTGAACCAGACTTTTGCAGTCAGCCATAATCCGGTTTTATTTATAGCAGGATAGCCTGTTGTGCTCAAACACAATTGCCTATTGCTAAGTCAGCTTTGGTATGCTGTGACAGGATATATCAAACAGAAGATTTTAGCCACAAAATCTTTAATGTAAATCTAGCATCTTGTAATTGGGCTAGGAAAAACAATCTAAAATAAGGGCTGAAGTTGAAGTCAGCAAAAGAATTCATGGCACGAAAACGAAAGGTTATCAAATTTCATTTCCACAAAGATATTCATCACGTCTCTCCCTTCTTTTCTGTCTTTAGAAATCAACCTTGTTCGCTGCGCCTTTGCCTATTCTCTCTGGCTCTTCGCCGTTTCAACCCGGCCTTCCGTTCTCTCGCTCTCTCTGGCCTCGGGGGCTCAGAATCCGCCTCTTCCTTGCAGCGTAGAATCGGTCCACCCTTTACCGCAAATCCCCTCGGCCTCGCCAGCGCCACACCGAAAGCCCCAGCGCGCCTTCCGCCCAATCCGACGCACCTTTCGTCCAAACTAGCCGGGCGTCCTCTCGCTCCCGCCAGAGGGCGCCCGCCGCCCAGCACGGGCTGAGCGGGAAGGCGTGGGCTGCGAGGGGCGGAGCCTGGGCCCGCGACGAAGGCGTCCCACAGAGATGACGAAAGGGCTCGGGACCTCTCGCCGTCGCGTCCCTCCTCGCTGTGGCGCCTGGCCCCGCGCGCTTTCCGTAGGCAGCCTGAGGGGCGGGGCTCCTGGTCGGCATGGAGACGGCGTCGCGGCCCGAGGAAGCCTCAGGCGCCGCCGCCGCCGCCGCCGCTGCTGCCCCGCGAGAGCCGCCGGGCTCGGTGAGCGGGGGCGGCGTGCCCGGGGGAGCGAGGGGGCGGGCGGGCGCGGACAGGTGGGCCGCGAACGGGTCTTTCCCTGGCCCGTGCGCGGGGAGCCTGTCCCGGTTCGGCTCCCCGGGCGGCCGCCGACGAGGTGGGCGGGCGGGCGGCTCACAGTAATAATCGCTGCGGTTGTCACAATGGCTGCCGCCGCCGCCGCCGCCGCCGCCCCGCTGGCGCCCCGCCCGGTGCTCTTGGCGGAAGGGGCCGAGAGGATGAGGGTCGGCCGCGAAGAGAGCAGCGACTCCGAGAACGAGAGCGGCGAGGAGGAGGAGGAGGAGGGCGGCCTGTCGGACGAGTCTGCCAACGAATGCCTGAAGAGGCTGGAGGCCGAGCGGAAGGAGCCTCCGCGCGGCTCCTCTCCGGACAAAGGCCCGGAGCCCAGCCGGGAGCAGCCCGGGGCCGGCCCGGAGGAACGCGCGGCGGAGGAGGGCGAGCCGGAGGAGCCCCGGCCGAAAAGGAAGCGGAAGCACCGGTGCGCTCCCTGCGGGCGGGCGGGGCGGGCGGGGGTCCGGGGCGCCCCCCGGGCCTCCTCCTCCTCCTGCGGCCAGCCGGGGCTTCCCCTTGTGGGGGGCCCGCGGCGCCGGCGGCTCCCCCTCCCGCCCCGCGCGACGCCCTTCTCGGTTTCCCCCCCAGGCTGCTTTCCATCAACCTGGTGAACTGCAAATACGAAAGCGGTAAGTGAAGGCGGCGTCCCGGCGCTTTCCTCCTCCCGCCCGGGCACAGACGCGGGCTGTTCGCGGGATGTGCCAGGACACAAATTGGCCCAGAATCAAAACAGAAGTGAAAAAACCGGAGGTAACGTGGTTTTCTCTCCCGTATAAAGAAGTAGCTCTCCGGGGGTTGTTTGGAGTGTGTGGGGAGGGGGAAGCATCCCAAAGGAGGATCTAATGATACTTCCTTTATTAGCTTTGCGCAGTAATGCGGGAATGATCCGGTGCTGTCTAATCTGGGCCAGGAGAGCTACTGGGTCCCTTGCTGGCAAACGGAGGATTCCAGGGACTCCCTTGGAGGGTTGGATAATCCGAATGATCGTTCCTGATGTGTAGCTTCTGGTCCTGTGAGCAAGGCCAGAAGATCACCTGGATGCCTCTCGGAAACAGCTTTGTCCGTCTGTTTACTTTCTCTGCAGTTAGGCGTGCTGCTCGGCGCTGCGGCCTGAAAGAAGTGGGGGAGGATGAGGAGTGGACAGTTTACTGGACGGACTGCTCGGTTTCACTGGAGCGTGTCATGGAAATGAAGAGGTTTCAGGTACCCAGCACAGCCAGGGTGGAGGGTGCAGAGAAAATTAAAGAGTTCTGATTTCAGTTCTTTGATAACTTGGGAAGGCTGGCAGACTGCCAAGCTCTTAAAGTGGGGAGCCTTCTCCTGGAGCTGAGGAGTTGGGAGAGGGAGAGGCTGCGGCACTAGGATCTGGGTTATCCCAGGGCTGGGCTTATACTGCCCGTTCCTTGTGGCTCCCAATAGTGGGAAAAGATTAGAAGAGCCTCAGAAGGATGCAGAATAGGGATTTACTAGAGAGGGGCCATAGCTGGGTTCCTATTTATAGTATTTTTCCCCTATATACTTTTATGCAGCAGCTCACTTTGTTTAGTTATTGGGTAAAATGAATAAAAAGTTACTAATGTGCCTTTATTTTTTGTGGAGGTTGGTTTTTTTTTATGTGTTCATAATTCTTTTCTTAAATGCTGAAGCTGTTTGGGAAGTTGTATCCTGTGCCTGAAAGGTGGGGCAAAGCATCCTGCAGAGCAACAAAACGAAGCACTTCCGTTTCCTTCTCCTGCTTTTGCTTCATTCCAGAAAATCAACCATTTTCCTGGCATGGCTGAGATCTGCCGCAAGGACCTGCTGGCCCGCAACCTCAACCGGATGCTGAGGCTGTTTCCCAAGGAGTACTGCATCTTCCCTCGCACTTGGTGCTTGCCAGCTGAGTGAGTGAACGAGAGGCGGCTGTGGTCGTACCAGCCCCAGAGAACCCTCTCAGTTGATGACAGGGGAAGCCGGAAGGACACGGCGTCTGTTACATGCCAGTCCCTGTGTTGTCCTTCTGCAGCTATGGGGACTTCCAAGCCTACGGACGAATGAGGAAAAACAGGACGTACATTTGCAAGCCAGACAGTGGCTGCCAGGGGCGGGGCATCTTCATTACCCGGAACCCCAAGGAAATAAAGCATGGCGAGCACATGATCTGCCAGCAGTATATTACTAAGGTAGACCCAGGAGCCTGGGGGCCAGCAGTTGTCCGGCCCTGTGTCAGAGGGCAAGAGCCCCAGCTGAGAATGTGGTCTCGGCTGCGGGTTCTCAACTCTCAGTCTCTCCCCCTCTCTTTGTAGCCCTTCCTCCTCGATGGCTTTAAGTTTGACATGCGTATTTATGTCTTGGTCACCTCCTGCGACCCCCTGAAGATCTTTATCTATGAGGAGGGGCTGGCGCGCTTTGCCACCATGAGGTACATCGAGCCCAACAGCAACAACCTGGTAAAGAAGCCCAGGAACTGGCATTCGCTTTGTAGGAAGATAAGCTGTTGGTGTCTGATGGGGCTTTGGGGACGTCTATGGAGAGCCTGACATGGTGAACGCCGTCCTTGGGCCTGCAGGGCTCCCCGGACTGGCAAATCTGGTCCCAAGGAGAAGGCGAAGCAGGTGGGCAAGGGGAGAATTGCAGGGGCCTCAAGAGTGGAGAATCAGGCTCCCCCTCCCAACGTCTCCCTCACAGGATGACATCTGTATGCACTTGACCAACTATGCCATCAACAAGCATAATGAGAACTTTGTGCGGGATGACAACACGGGAAGCAAGAGGTATTGCTTGTACCCATTCCCTTGCAGGAGAGCGGGCAGCACTTCTGCTAGTGTGTGTGTGTGTATGTGTGGGTAATAGGACACCAGGTGCCTGAGAAGGAAACTCCACTTTTTTCAACTCCATGAATTGGCTGCTTTGAAGAAAGTAGTTGACTTGCCCCATCTGTGGGGCTCCTAAGGGGGGCCCACGAGGCATGCCTGCATCCTGGTGGGAAAGCCTCTGCCAAGATCTCCATCTCAGAAGGAGCTGGGAGAACTCTCCCTGCCCTAGAGCAAGTGGCCTTATCCACTCTGGACAAGGCTGGCAACCGTGGGGCTCTCTTTCCCCCCTTGGTGGCTGGGAGGGAGGGGGCTGCACCCAAGGGAAAGCAAGACTCCCTGGAAGGGCCTAGCATTCCCGGGGGGGGGGGGGCTGTTGCTCAGGGACTGATCCTGGGGCAGGGCGGAAGTAGACTTCCTCCTGCAGTAGCTCTTCTCCCTCCCCTGACCCGACAGGAAGCTGTCCACCCTGAACGCTTGGCTGCGGGAACACGGCTGTGACACGGCTGAGCTGTGGCGGGACATCGAGGACATCGTAATCAAGACGCTCATTGCTGCCCATCCGGTTCTGAAGCACAACTATCGCACTTGCTTCCCCAACCACGTCTCTGGCTGTGCCTGCTTTGAGATCCTGGGCTTCGACATCCTCCTTGACCGGAAGCTCAAGCCGTGGCTTCTGGAGGTAGGTGGCCTTCCCAGAGCCGTCTGGCCCCGAGACGGGGGAGAGGCAAAGCAAATGAGGAAGCAGGAAGGGCAGCCCACCTTCGGCTCACCTGCTCCGGTGCCTGTTGAATTTTGAAGGGAGCAGGAACAAGGTCCTCCTCAGAGATTCTGAAGGTTGGGGAGGAAGTAGGGCAATCTTTTCAAACATCCATCAAGCAGTAGAAACAGGTATCCGTTCCTGTTGCAAGCCCTGGCTGACTGCAGGTGTCCAGGCCTTTCCCATCACCCCCCTTGGGCAGAGAACCTTCTGAGCGCTTCTCTTTGAGACCCAAAGGACCCGTTTCCTCTGCCTGAAGCGATACCCATCTTTTATTCTTAGTAGCAGTCTCTCCTAACCTAGGTCCTACATACAGCGTTACAAGCTGGTTTTTTTAGGAAATAAAAAAAAGAACATATCAAAGAGATTTTGTGATTTCCAGGGTTCCTCAGATCAAAATGAACGCAAGTGCTGTCTTTGATCCCTCTTTCAGGTCAACCATTCCCCCAGCTTCACCACAGACTCCCGTCTGGACCGGGAAGTGAAGGATGCCTTACTCTGTGATGCAATCAATCTCATCAACCTGCGGGCCTGTGACAAGAGGAAGGTGCTGGAAGAAGACAAGAGGCGGGTGAAAGAGCGCCTCCTGCAGCCCCACCAGCAGCCCCGGGAGGCCAGGTAGATCTGTGAGCCCCTGCCTGGTTTGGGGTAGGTAGCCCTCCCCAGAGAGCACTCGGCACCCCCTGTCCAGTAGAGAACCCGAACGGTAGGCTGCTGCTGCTGTGTGTCTATGAGTGTGTGTGTGTGTGTGTGTGTGGGGTCCAGGGCAGGAAGGTTCCTTGGGGCACAGCGGATCTGTGGTTTAAGGCCAGCCCGTTGCTATTTCCCAGGCGTGAACAGATGGAGAGCAGCCAGGCCGCCTGGCTGGCCCAAGCAGAGAAGTACGAGAACAGCCACCTGGGCCACTACCGGCGCATCTTTCCCTCACGTGGCACTGAAAAGTACAGCCCCTTTTTCAAGCACAGTGGATCCCTCTTCCAAGAGACGGTGGCCTCCAAGGCCAGAGAAGAGTGCGCCAGGTACCCGGCTGGGAGGGGTAGAAATGGGGCTTTTGGGTCCTAATGGAACCGTGCAAGTGTGACTGTTGACTGGGTGGCCCTTTCTGCACCAGGCAGCAGCTGGAGGAGATCCGTCAGAAGCAGGAGCAGAGGGAGAACACAGCTGGGAGGAAGAAACGGGAAGTGAAGGAGAGCTTGCAGGGGGAGTCGGCTGGAGAGAAGTCTCAGGAGAAGAGCAAGGGCAAGGTGGCCCTCACCCGAATGGCGTACAGCCACAGCAAGACCTGGAACCCCAAGGTGCCCTGCAAGGATCTCTCTAGATGGAGGAGGACCTCTAGCAGGGTGGGGGTGGGACGCCCCCTTAGCTTCTGCGCAGCAAATACACTGATTTTTGCCCAAATGAAACCCAGATGGAGTTCCACACAGTGCTGCATGAACTTGGGAGAAATAGAAACTCATCTCAATTTTTTTCTGCCTTCAAAAGAAGCCACCAGGTGGCTGAGATCTGATTTAGAGGATAGTGTATTGCCCCTTCCCTCTCCTGGCTGGCCCACTGGCTGCCCTTGCGCGATGGGCAGCAGCCTCAGTGGGGCCTGATGTGCTCAGGAATCAGCAAGTACCCTTCAGGCTTGGAGCTGCAGAGCAGCTGGCCAAAGTGGGGCCCAGCACAAGGCAAGCAAACGTGGGCCGGAGCCCACCAGCATCAGTTCTAATCTTAGCGAATCAAAGGCTCTGGTTTTGCTTTCTGGGGAGTGTTTGAAAGTTAATTTATGTGGGCATATGTGCATTTTCGAATTAACAAGCTGCCGTTCTGCTTCCTAGATGGCCTCCTTGCAGTATGACAGCATGACTCCCCAGGCCATAGTGGAGGAAGAGGAAGTGGAGAGAGTCAAGGCCCTCCTGCGGCGAGAAAACCTCATCCGGGGACTTGGCATTGTTGACCAGCTGACCCGCCTGCTGCGCAGCACCGAGCCAAAGCCTGTGGAAGTCCAGAGGCCCCACATCAACGTCTCTGAATGCCAGGTGACCCTCTGCACAGGCCTGCCATCCCGGGGAAGGGCTGGGCATCCGCGTGGTCCAGGGGGGAAACTCGAGGCAGCCGGTAGCTGGGCAGGATCATTTGGCATCTGCAACCCCAGCTCAGGGCAGAAATTCAGAATAAAGTCTTCCCATCCGATGAATGGGAACCCTCTGCTTCTACTTTCAGCCTGTTTTTATTGTCAGTAGTTTTTCCTAACTTTCAGTCAGAGTCTGCCCCCATTAACCTGAATGGATTATTCCACATTCAGTTTTTTTAGAATAGTCTTCAGTGTGACATCCTGTGAGGTGTTTGATGGAGCTGTGGGTCATCTCCCTCCCTCCCTCGGCCTCTGTTTCTGGTCCCCAACTCCATTCCTTCTCTTCTCTGCCAGGGTGTGTTTGCAACCATCTTAAAGCCTGGTGCCTGAAAGAGGAGAGTGCTCAAAAGACCGAAGCAGAATCCCGTGGAGGTTTTGCTTTGATTGATGTGATCTAATGACTGGCCTGGGACTTGTCTCTGCCCCTCCAGAGAATACATCAATCTATTGCCTAATTTGGAAGGGCCCAAATATGTCGTTAATAATTTTCTGATTTGTTTGTGTGCTGGTCAGTGCTGGTCTCCTGGCAACCGCCTGGACTAGTCCCTGCAATTTTCCTGGCAAGGTTTTTCCGAAGTGGTTTGTTATTGCCTCCTTCCTCAGGCTGAAAGAGAAGGACTGACCCAAGGTCACCCAGTTGACTCCTCACCTGGTGCCTTATGCACGACACCCAATTGGCTCTCATTTCCCAACTGGAGGCATTAAACAACCTTCCTCCTGCAGGGCAGGGCGAGACTTTGCAGAAAATCTGCACCTTTCAGAGTTTGGTGGGTGCCGGTGGATGGTGCAGGAAGGTGGTTTTCCCCAAACTTCAACCTGATCTTTTTGTCTTCCAGCCCCACTTTCTCCAAGACGTGCTCAACAATCACAACACCCAGGACCTGATGACCCTCGTCCCCCTCTCCCTCCTAAGGGGCTCGGCCCAGGAGCTTGGCCGCCAGATCCTGCAGCAGCAACCCACGGCACGAGTCCAGCTGCTGGGAAACCAAGGCTTCATCCCAACTATCCTGGGGGCCCTCTCGGGCCTCGGCCCCCCTCGCCTCGGTGTTGAGGTGAAGGTCGGTGTATCCTTGAAGCCGACCGACCCGTGGTGGTACCACCCGCTTGGACCGTGAGACCGTGCCTACGACTTTCGTCCTCCCGCCGCGAAACGGTCACGGTTCTTATTTCGTCTTCCGTCACTCACAGACCGACCCTCGACCCCTGGGGACGTCCCCGAAAGGGACAGACCGTTCCAAGCAGGGCTCAGGAGAACAGAAGGCCCCCAGAAAGTGGCAACTTGGGCCAGGCCAAGAGACTCGTCTGGGCACCCACATAGCCTGGGGAGCTTCCTCACCCCCGTCTGCCCTGTGAGGAGGAAACAGTGCTGAGTCTGCAGTTTAGATCTGGATTAGTCAATCCTAATGCAGCTAACGCAGTGGGGTGGGGTGGGGCTGGGAAAGAGGCTATGCACCTTCCTACAGTCAGTCCTGGCTACAAGGTCATTTTGCCCCCGGGACCCACCTCACTTCCGGCAACCGTTTTGGCCACAGAAAAGGGGCAAAAAGGAGGTTCTGGATTTGGAGCTGCTGTGGATCTTGGGGTGCAGCAGAGACTAGGGTCCATTTATGGAATTGCAGATTTCCTGCCTGCTTCTGCCCAAGACCTCCAGCTGCCCATTTCCTTTTTCCAGACAGATTTCCTTCCAGCAAGAGACCCCTGAACATGAGCCCCGGATCCCTGAATTGCCTGTCCCACCATGGAAACGTCGCAGGCACTATATACAGCAGCTTCCCCTTCCCGTCTGTTGCAGCTCCGCTCAACCGTGCTGACCTGCATGGACTGGCCATCAATTCAGCTTCAGCCCCCCTCATACGGCGCGGGAGTCCCCATCGTTCCACCACGGTGGCCGCTCTGCATCCCAGCCAAGCCAGGTAGCAGCCCCCTCACCTCTTCCCTCACCCTGAGTTGGGGCCATGCCTGCGACTCCTAGCCAGCTGGCTTCTTCTTCCTTCAAGAAGGGGACCTGACCCAAAAAAACAGCAGATCCTTGGAGTTGGGACTGGGCAGGTGCCAATTATTGAGCCTTGCGCTGGGGGGGGGCAGCAGCAGAGAACAGATCTCTGCCCTGGTGCATCCAGACACCTCCATCTCTTTCAGCCATTCTCCCCAAAACCTCCACCTCTGCAGAGCCGTGTTTCCCCTCCAGCTAACAGCAAGTCCTGAGAACGGTTCTGTGCACTTGGGCTGCACCCCTCCCCTGCTCTCTCTGCAAGCCAGGTTCCCTCTGCAGATGCCAGTTAGCCTGCCCAAGCCTTGGGACAATTCTTGAAAAGCCCTGTGGGCTGGGAAGAGGTTTCTTTTGTAGCCAACTTTATATTAAAGTTTTATACAGTTCTATCCACCAGGGTTTGTCTGTCCTTTCACTTACAAGCTGCATCCTGTCGTTTTTGTGGGGATCCTGCGGCTGGATCAAGCCTGTTTGGTCTTCCAGAGCTTGATAAGGCAGCAGTTTTATTATTTTTATTATTATTTTATTAAGTTTTATTATTCTTGTTTTAATATATTTACACGTACCTTGGCACCCACACAGCCTCTTGTTTTTCACACGTGTTGGCTTCACACTTCGTGATTTAACTAGTCTTTCAAAGCTTTCCGCGTTGGTAGCCTTGTGGGCACCTTACAAAAAGAGCGCCCAGATCTTACGCTGTTCGTTAGGGGTCTGTTGCCGCTCATTTGTGCCTTAGTGCTAATGTAGGATTTTCAGGACAGATACCAAAGGACTAGAACACCAAGGGCGTCGCCAGGACAGCAACAAGTTTGAAGAAATTTTATTAGAATATTGTCCTGGAATGTACAGGTAGCCCTCGACTTACAACAGTTCATTTACTGACCGTTCAAAATTACAGCAACACTGAAAAAAGTGACATGATCATTTTTCACTCTTGCCTCTGTTGCAGCATCTCCATGGTCACGTGATCAACATTCAGGCGCTTGGCAACTAGTATTTACATTTGCATGGGGGGGTGGGGGGTGTCACGTGATCCCCTTTTGTGACCGCCACGTGACCGCGGAGCCGAGCGTCGTAGCGCCAAGCGACACGCGCTCCCCCTGCCCTCCGACCCTGTTTCCGGAAGCTCCTCCCGGGAGGGGAGGCGGGAGCGAGCCAGGCGCAGGCGCGGCAGGGGCAGCGGGCCGCGCGGTGGCCGCCGACCCGAAGGGCTCACCCGGAGGGGCGCAGGGAGGCCGAGCCGAGCTCGGGGCCGCCTTCCGGCCATGAAGCCCCCGCGGCTGCCGGACCTGCGGAAGCTGCTGGCCGGGCTGGCGGCCGCGCGCGCCGACGGGGCGGTCCTAGCGCCGGACGAGCAGCTGCGGGAGCTGGAGAGGTAGGCGCGCGCCCCTCG